CATTCCTTCTTTTTACTTCTAACAGTCTTAATCTTTTTCGTTCATTCAAATATTGTCATAGAATTTGATTTCGTTTTCGTCTTTGTCCCATTGCACAGAGTTTTTCAAGGCTTTAACAAGCCTCTTTTGTAAATCCAAAAGGAAAAATTGTCCAGGTCACTCTCTTGGTTCATCATTTGTATTTGCCTTTTGAATTTTAAACTATCAGCCAATTTCTTTTGTAGATCCAGTGAAGCATCCTTTTCCAAGTCATTCTCTTGGCCTGTCAGTTGTTAATCCACTTTTGATACCATCTCTGCCTTGTCAGATAAAATTTGTTCTGTCATTTCTTTAATAACATCTTTTGGACACAGTTTACCCATAGAAGCAGACATCATTACTGACATTGTTGATATTGTGGCTACTAATTTCTGACTTCATTCTTCAAAAGTCTTCTTCAGTATTTTCATTGTTACAATGTTTTGCATTTTATAGGCTTTCATTTTTTCCTCCACCTAAAATCTTTAGTACTCTCTAGTGTCCAGTTTTTAAATCATGAAATTACGTCTTCCAAAAAACAACAGATCTATTTCCAATGAGAAGCTGTTTGTTCTTTACAATTAATTCCAAAGTCTTATTGTAAAAGTGTCAATATTCCCAATTTATCTGGACCCTTAATCCTTTTATAACTTTCTAAGTTCAAAATCTTATTTAGCTTTTTGCTGTTCACTGGATTTCAAATTATTTAAGTTCTTAAGCTTATAATTAGTTTTTCGTTGTTCAGAGTTGAAGATAAACTCACCAGATGAAGACTTTTCAAACTTGTCTTCCAAAGCTTTAGAATAGTTAATAGGCAATTTCCGAAAGTGATTAGAAAGTGAGGTTTGCAAAGTTAGTGTCCTTTGAAAGTCTCCTCAGTGGCTGCAAGCAAGATGGTTAACCCGTTGTCTCCTGGCGCTCAAACCCACAGAAAACTACTGTCCTGCAATCTTTTTGCGAGGAGTAGCTACCAGAGCACACATGGGTGATTTCCCATCCTCTCCTTATCCAGAAAGATTCCAAGGAACTGGTCCACTCACCAGTTCCTTGGTCTCTGCCGTGGTTGTCGGCTCTGCAAAACAGGTTGTCATATCTCCCCCGGAAGCCCAAAACACTTGCTAAAAATTCCTAAGCCCTAGAGGAAAAAAAAAATCTGTGCTAAAGGATATCACTATATATTTTTATTACCTTTTGATTGGCTGTTTTATGATCTTATCTGTGTTTAATTATTGTTTATGGCCATGTAAAATTACTGCGGACATTTTATTGTTGAGGTTGTAATACACCAAGAGTCTCTTGATTGCAGCAGGTAAAAAAGGAGAAGGAGAAATAAAAATAAATAAGAGTATCAGCATGGATACTTCTGCAAAGTTAAATACTGTTGTCTCCTCACCAACCTCCTGAGCATTGTTGAGAGTGGATGGAGGTAACTCTGTCAACAGTGTATATTTTGATTTTTTAAAAACCTTGGACTAACTTCTTTATCAAAGGCTGTCGGTAAACAGAGCAGCCATGGGGATAACAGGACCCACCTTTTTATGAACTGCTTTCTTGTGAGCAAAGAAAACATAAAGGGTAGGAATGAATGGGCAAGTTTCTCAATAGAGGGAAGTAAGAAGTGGGGTTCCTTAAAAATCTGTGTTGGGACTGGTGCCTTAATAAATGTTCTTGACTTAGGGGTAAGATGATACCAAATTATTCAGTGTGCTAAAACCCAAACGTGATTGTGAAGAGGTCACCAGTTAAACTGGGTGAATGGTCAATCAAATGCCAAATGTGGTTCAGTTTAAGTAAGTGTAAAACTGTGCACATTTAAGCAAAAAGCTATCCTCCTCTTCCTCTTCCTCTTCCTCTTCCTCTTCCTCTTCCTCTTCCTCCTCCTCCTCCTTGTCCTCCTCCTCCCTTAGTTGTAGGAACTGCTTGTTCTTGCACTGTACCCACCTAAGTATTTTCAACAAAGCTTATCAATGTGTCATGCAAGGAAGGGGTTGTTTTTCAGCCAGCTTGTCACAGAGCCTGACACTAATTAGGACTGAGGGAGTGATTGCTCCAAGATCATGCAGGAGCTTCCATGCTTAAGGGAGACCTAGAACCTGAATCTCCCTACTCCCAATCTGGCACCTTCACTATTAGACCACAGTGGCTCTTGGGCTGAGGGGGGGAACTGGCCCAGAGCCCCCCAAGGAGTTTCCTACTCTAGCACTGTAATGGTATGTAGGAAAGACCATAGGAGACGGGCGAAGAGATGCTGCCAAGGGAACAGTCAGATAAGAGACAGCATAGCCCACAGCTGCATAATGGGTGGGACAAGAGGCTCAGAATGGACTCTCCCTAGTTTCTTGGGCTATAAAGGAGACGGGAGGAATTTGTACTTCCAGATTTGTAAGATTCTGTTAATGTAGCTTTACAATAAAGTGGAATTAGCTCATCTGGTCGTGTTTCCTGTCTGGTCTACCACTAGCCCACACTGGCTGGGGGGCTGAAAGGAAGGGAGTGGCCCATAGTGCTAGGAGCTTTGGTGGCTGAGGGAGACTAGAACTGAGTCTCCCTGCTCCTAGCTCAATACCTTCACCAGTAGCTTGGACTAGTGGGGGGGACTGGTCCAAAGGAAGCTTCCATGGCTGAGGGGGGACCAGAACCTAGGTCTCCCTGCTCTTACCAACCCCTTCACCACCCCTTCACCACCAGATCACAATGGTTCTTGGGCAGAGAGAGAAGGATTGTCCCAAAACCCCCCAGGAAGGTCTAAAACCTGGGTCTCCCCACCTCTCACCAGCATCTTAATCCTGATACCACGCTGTTTGAGCAAAAAAACAACCACCCCTGATGTCATATATACATTGATGCAAGTCCAAGCTCTTTATAACTAATCAGGAGAAAGATCTTGGTGTCGTAACAGCACAGGGACAATGTCAACTGCCTGTGCAACAGCTGTGAAAATGGGCCTCCCTCCTACTTGTCGATCAGGCTCAATTTTAGGGTTCCTCAACCTTGTGATTTTCCCTGGTACTCGCCATTCTTCGGACCCTCCTCCCGATGGCACTCTTGGAGGCCCCTCTGGCCACAATTGTTGGAAATCGACTGGACTGTTTTCTTCCCTGAGTTAAACCCTACACAAAAGCCATTGTGTAAGAATGTGATGCCCTTTAAAAAATAAAGGGACAAAAAGCATGCAAGTATGCAAATATTATCCCAAATCCAGGAGAAGGCTCAGTCTATCCTGGTCACAATCACTTTGCATTATGGCAGCGTCCACCGCACCCGCCCGTTCTCCAAAATGTTAAGTGCAGCCCTCAGGGGCACTGAAAGGTTGCCCCCCCCATCTACCCTAAAGGGACTCCGGGTTCTCAGCGACTCCCAGGAAGCATCTGGGATGCTCACCGAGTTACCCCCAGATGCCTGCCTAGGGTGAATGTCAGGTACGTGTTTGTGGGTTATGGTTAGGGTCCACATTTTGCGCCAAGCCATAATGTGGCTTCCTTAGTTTTGGCTTCTGTGGTCTTGTTTTCCGATCTCCAGGTTTTTTGCCCTTTTTGCCGAGCTTGCAAAAGCTAAGCATTGAAGGGGGTGATGGCCCTCGTTACGCAATATTCCTGCTTTCCCCAATTCTGCAGGTTGCTGATGGTTTCCCCCAGCGTGGTGACGGTGGGAGCAGACGTGCGGGTTGTGCTTCAGGCTCCGTCGGCGCTCTCAGGCGTTGTCTATTTCCAGAATCAGCTAAACGGGATGCAGTGTTCTTCTGAAGTACCCTTCAAGCTTCAGTCTGCTCAGTCCAAGGATTTTGTGCAAGACGTGACCTTGAAGGTAAGAGTGAAAACTGGGAAGTTTGCACATCCACCCCTAGGAGATGGATTCACTCATCCTGCTAAGCCATCATTGGATGGGTTTGGTGGTGGCTTGGTGTAACCTTCCCCAACCTGGGTGCTCTCTCCCAGATGTGTGAGCGTTAACTCCTAGAACTTTTCTGAATGGCCTTGCTGGAAATTCTGGAAGTTAAAGTCCACACATCTGGAGGGCACCCGGGCTGGAGAAAGCGGACTCAACATGTTCTGTGAGCCCAGATGTTGTGCTTTATGAGGCAAGATTTGGGTGGACAACTTCTACTTTTTACTTTAAAAAACTACTGATGTAAGGTTGATCTCTGGGGCTGGGAAGGAAACAGGAGCAGGTGGATATTTCAGAGTCAGTCTTATTTGGAAAAAGGATACTTAGCCCTTGCATTCTGGGAAAAAGAGGTTCAAACAGCTTTCAAGGATGGTGTGTTAATTAATTCCCTAATAAATTAGTGCTGGGCTTTGAGCTTCTTCAGGTCCCAAGATTCTGCATATGAACTTATGTTCTTGACAATGAACCTAGCTAATGAGACTCTGCGGATTTTTCTTTCTGTATTTTACTCTGCTGTTAAGTGTGCAATGACTGGTCTCTTAAGGGCTGTAGGTTGGTGGAATGACATCACTGAAAGAGGTGGAAATGCAATGTTTGATCTGTTTTCTTTTCTGCTTTTTTGGTACTTCGAGGGAAACGGTTAAGGAACATATTGATCTCTCCAATCAGAGCCATAATGCATGTATTTTGCTTCTTATTTTTGGATGTATAGCTGGGGGGGGGCCTCTGGGGACCACCAAAGGGCTGAGAGTCTGCCTGTGGCCTGAAGGTATGGCTTAGTGCAATGTTTGAATTCTGCTTTTGTGGCTTATTTCACAAAACCGGGCTAAGACAAGACATGGCTTAGTTTGACATATGAATCCATCAAATCCTCAGGTTCAGGTGCACCATTTTCTCCCTCTTTACTTCCTGGTTTGGGATAAACTATAGCTCGCTTGATGTTGACAAGCCAGTTTTCTTCAAGCCAGAATTAAAAATTAGCCACGGAGTCTCTGCATCTTGAAGTGAGGACTTTCCTGGACTTCTAAAAACACTGGCTTGGTAAGAGATAAGCCGTTGCTGTTAAGATGGCCTGTGAAATAATGTGCTTATGCCTGCAAGTCACAGAATACCAAGGATCAGAAATGGAACTGCGATCTGCTGTTTTTTTCCGGATCGGATGCTGACGGGTCAAAATAGCTGTACCAGCCGGAGTTGCCATGCAGAACTTGAAGGGGGAAGTTGATGGGAAAAAAGGATATATTGTGCATGTGAGGAGAAAGCTGGGGAGCCTGAAAAAGGGAAACGCTGCCCTGAAATAGCCTGAAGTTCCAGTAAATGGGTAATAAAAATGGACATAATGATCACTGTTCTGTGATAAAGAGAAAGTTCTGCTTTTCACACAAACGCTGACAATCATTTACAGAGATATCATGCATCTTTCTGAATGCTTTTATGGTCTCACATTATCTGTATTCAGTAGATGAGGATGATTACACCGGGTTTACCTCTCTTCCCAGGAGGCTAGGAGGGAAGAAGGGATTTTCCCACTGAATTCTGGCAAAACATCTGTGAGGTCCTAGGGTGAACAGAACAAGTTTTGCTGCTGAGCAGGAATTGGGCTCCCCTCACTCTGAACAGGCGCAGCGGGAAAGGCCCCGTTTCGATATCAGAATGTCTCAAACTTGATGCATAATTCTGCACTACCTTTTCTCTTGCTGCTAGAAGGCATAGTTCGCTCTCAGTTCTAACCGGTGTTCATTCTTGCAGCTGACCCCGGAGTTCTTGGTGAACTGTGGTTTGCTCCGCCAGCGGCGAGACCGCTACGTCCAACTTGTGGCCCGCAGTACTCAGCTTAGTACTCCCAGGGGCATTCAAACCCTCAACCTGCGTTGGAGTGCCCGAGAGGGATACCTCTTACTGCAGACTGACAAGCCCATATATACCCCTCGGCAAAAGGGTGAGCCCAACCCCTTCCTCCCAACCCCTCGCTCTGTTCTTTTCTCCCATTAAAAAAACTTTGTTTAATAACGATACCGCCTACACAGATATACAAATATAGATAGAGATGTACGTATGTTCATTTTCCTCTTTTGAGGAGTACATCTGCGACAATCTGTGTTTTTTTTATTATTATTATTTAGTGTTATTATAATCCTTCTATTTTATTTCAAACAAACAAAAAAGATATCTATGAATAAACTGATAATTACTGAGGTTGTGCAATTATTACTCAATATGACATTAGTAAATGTCTAGGCCAGTGTTTCAACCTTGGCAACTTGAAGATGTGTGGACTTCAACTCCCAGAATTCCCCAGCCAGCAT